GCCCCTAGTTTGAGAGATCTTGCCTTTCACTGCACATACACACTTAAATTTATGTTAGTTAAATCATAAATTTAAATGACACATAATAATTTTCAGACATATAAAAGACGCCACTTTAGTTACATGCATATAATACACGCTCATGATATAGGTTCATGCTATATGGTATATCATCAGATCTTTAGTCATTAAAATACATGAATTACAGGTACGCACTTTCTTTTCTTCCTCAAACCAGCTTGTTTTTGGGCACAAGATGGGTGGCAGAATAAAGAAAATCAAACAAGAACTAGCTTCAGTGTCAAACGACAGAAACTTCCTCTTGGAATATCGTCATGAAGAGACTCGGGAAATTGTGAGGCGGGAGAGAGAGACGCATTCGTTTGTCCGTCAAGAAGAGGTTATTGGTAGGGATGAGGATAGAGAGGAAATTGTTAAGCTTTTATTGGAACAAGGTGAATTGGAAGAGAATGTCTCCGTCATTCCCATCGTGGGCATGGGAGGGCTTGGAAAAACCACACTTGCTCAAACTGCTTTCAATGAGGAGACGGTTCAACAACATTTTGACCTAAAGATGTGGGTGTGTGTTTCGGATGATTTTGACTTGAAGTTACTTCTTCAACAAATTATCTAGTCTGCAACTAATAATAACAACTTGGGAGCTATTGATTCAATGGATCAATTGCAAAAGGAGCTTCGGAAGGTACTTAGTGGAAAGAGGTATCTCTTTGTGCTAGATGATGTGTGGGAGGAAAAACGCGAAAAATGGTTGGTGCTAAAAGACTTGTTATTAAGTGGATCACGTGGGAGTAGAATTGTAGTAACAACTCGGAGTAAAACGGTGGCTGAGATTACTGGATCGGTCCAGCCATACCAATTAGGGATCTTAGATGAAGAAAAATCTTGGTCTCTGTTTGAAAAGATGGCTTTTAAACAAAAAGAAGAGGAGAGAGACCCCGAGATTGTGGATATTGGGAGGCAGATTGTGGAAAGGTGTGGAGGAGTTCCTCTCGCGATAAGAGCTATAGGAGGCATGTTGTTTTCTAAAAGTTCAAAATCAGAGTGGTTGTCCTTTTATAAGGGATTTTTCAAAATATCACAAGAAAAAAAAGATGGCATTTTATCAACGCTCAAATTGAGTTATGATAATCTTTCCTCACACTTGAAACGTTGTTTTGCCTATTGTAGATTATTTCCTAAAGATAGGAGAATTGGGGTTGAAAGATTAGTAAAACTTTGGATGGCACAAGGGCTTCTCGAGTTACAAGATCCAAGTGATGACCAATGTCTGGAGGATGTGGGCTACGGATATTTTATGGAATTACTTAGAAGGTCATTCTTTCAAGAAGTTGAAGTAGATCAATGGGGCGCTGTAGAAAGTTGTAAAATGCACGATCTCATGCATGATCTCGCCATAGAAGTAGCAGGAACAGAAAGCGCTACTGTAAGTTTGAACTCCGGAGGCAATATTGGTAAGGATACTCGTCATGTTTCCTTTGATTTCAATATTAACTCCCCAAAGAAAATTTCTTCTTCATTGGTTCAAGCACGTAAGATTCGGACAGTTCTTTTGCTTGATCAATCTTGGAATAACAATTGGGGAAAGTCAACTTCTGATGCACTAAGATCAAATTTCAAGTTCACACGCACTTTAGATTTGAATTGTTCGGGGATTACAATACTACCAAAGTCTATAGGCAGTTTTAAGCATTTCAGATATCTAGATCTGGTAACGACGATATCGAGATGCTACCCAATTTGATTACCAATCTAGTGAATCTGCAGACGCTATGATTGAATGGTTGCTCTGGCCTACGAGAATTGCCTAGAGACTTGAAGAAGCTAGTCAATCTCAGACATCTTGAAATTGATACGTGCAGTGGATTGACTCATATGCCACACGGATTGAGTCAGCTGACCAATCTTCAGACACTATCAACGTACATACTAAGTAAGAGCAAAAGAATTAATGGAGGTGAGCTAAAAGAATTAATGGGCTTGAACAACTTGAAAGGGGAATTGGAAATTTGGAATCTGGGCTTGAACAGTTCAACATAATAATAATGCAAATCCAAATTATCAATATATATCGTTTACTTATGAAATATTTATATATATATATATTTATATAATCTGATACGCTAGATCGTGTGAGATCTTCAACACACATGCACTAGATCGATCGTGTGAGATCTTCAATACACATGCAGTTACTGACTTGCCTAATTCTTTATTATGAAATTAAGTGCTACACGTACACGACAATTTTATCAACATCAAGGGATTTTTTTTTTGCTTTCATTCATTTGTTTTTTGTTTTTTATCAAGGGAGTTATATGAAGCATTTTTATTTTTATTTTTATGTTTTTCAAGTTCTTTGTGGGCCAATTTTAATGTCTTAATTGATATCCAACCAATCTAATCATGCCACATCATGTAAAGAATTTAGATTGCCTTTTAACTTACTTTTTTGTATTTATCATGAAATGATGTGGTATGATTTAATTGGTCAGACACTAATTAGAATACTAAAAATTGAACAGTAAATTTGCTTACGTCCATCTAGGGGATCATTTTCAAGTTCTTTGTACATTTGATTGAATGATGATTAATTTGCTTACTTTATGTCTATCAAAGTTTACCAGATCTCTTGTCGATCTGGTATTTGTAATAATTAATGTGAGAACTATCAAGTATTTGATTCTAATCAATATTTTTTGTTGAACTAGTGTGAAATATTTTAAGTTTTGCGAGAATAATTGTTATTATTCTTTTGATTTGATCTTATTCTTTGTTTAATCATTTTGAGTCGGTTTTTTACAGTATTTCTTATGTCTCCCCATCTTCGATATTATGATTGTATCACTTTCTACTTTCTATAATCTATATCTCTATTTGTATTAATGTTTAATTATTCATTATGGATTGATTGTGATGTGCTGCTAATTCTTTTTAAGTTATTATTTGAATGTTATTATAATTTCTTGTCGTGACTTGATGTATGGTTACCTTTAATCTGGTTTTTGTTCAGTTTTTTCTTATATTTATTGATTTGAGTCTCTCACTTTGAGAGTTCATTAGTCTCTTCATGTATGAGTCACAATAGTCTCTCTTTATGGGAGTTTCAAGAGTTCTTTTCATAAAGTTTTACTTAAAGTCAAAATAGTCCCCGATGCCAATTGTAGTTTATCACCATTTGTTCATCATGAAGAATCTTAAGAAAGATGTTACGCTTCATACTTGTTCTGTTATGTGATTATCATGCACTGTAAGTGTAACTCTTCTTGTTTTTTTAACTAATTCTTTGATGCCAAAATGTAAATTATTATTATTATTATCATTATTATTATTATTATTATTATTATTATTATTATTATTGTTATTATTATTATTATTATTGTTATTATTATTATTATTATTATTATTATTATTATTATTATTATTATTATTATTATTTAGTACTACTACTACTACTATTATGATTCGGGGATGTCATAAAATGTAGCTTTCAGTTTCAATGTCATCATGTTAGATATTACGAGATCAACACAAGGATCATTCAGATTTTACAGAAAGAAGACATTCTTATTCGAATTTTGGTTAGAAAGTGGTCAAACCTCTGCATCAGTTTCATATGCCGCGTGCAAAGTTTTTGAAAGTTCGTGCTTTGATTTGTGTAAAGAAACAAATTTCTCAAAAGAAACCATAATTATCTTCTAATTAATGCTTAGAGAGGTATCTGCTGAGGATGTACTACCATTCTTATGTGGATAATAATTTTTATTAAAAAAAAAAACATTCTGCGGATTCAATTGCAGCCATGTAAATTGATGGAAAAGCTAGAGCGTTTAACGTTAGATTATCATCTCCAAATGAATTTAATTTTTCATGAGAAAATGAATTTCTCAAAAGAGGGAGTCAATTTTGTGCCTTGAAAAATTATTCTAATCGGCTCTGAATCGCATGATCATGTTAGAAAACGTGTAAGCGCAAAATGTGGTAGCAACTCATCATTAACAGGATAAACAAATTGTTAATTAGTTTAGGAATAAAATGGGGTCAATCATAAAATTCCCAATTCTAAATGTTAGTTGATTTTGCTATATGAAAGGAAATAAGAAAAATTCCAAGATACGAAGCTTCCAAAGAAATTGATAGAAATTTTCACTTGCTTCCTGTATAAAGTGAAAGTTGAAATCAGTATCAATAACTGAATATTCACTGGCACAATTTGTACTTAACTAGAACCTACATATAAATATAATGTATATATATGTATATATTACCTTGGTATAATTTTCTTTGTCCAACTTTCTAACCTGAAAGGGCAAAAGAAAAGGCGTCGTAAGAGTTTTAATTTTAATTTTATTTTTTTCTGGAATTATTAATGACAAACCTGGAAAAGCAACAACAATCCAAATATTGCATGCGCGGGCAACATTAAGTAACACTTGAAGGCCTGTGAGTAAGAAATAAAAAGAGCTTGTTCATAGATCGTTAAGGAATATTGATTAAAATAAAAAGACAACAAAATGGGGAAAAAAACTTTTGAAAGTTGTCTGCAAATTTTTTATTTTTTTTTGTCTGTTTGTTTGTAGGGAGAAAGAGGAAAATAGGCCAAGACATGAGATGAATTAAAATTAATAAGCTAATAGTTTACATAAGTTAATAAATAGGCTAAATTACTGTTTTCGTCTATAACTTGTCTGGTTATGAACCATAACTTGACAAGTTATTGTCCATAATTGTTTATAACTTGTCTGGCTTTGAACCATAACTTGACAAGTTTGTCTATAACTTATCTGATTATGAACCATAACTTGACAAGTTATGGCCTATTAATTTTTATAATTAAAAATTGGCCTATATACTTTCTTAAACTTTTTATATTGGCCTATTTTCTACTATTTCCCTTGTTTGTATTATACCCGATCGGGTAATAAAAGTTTATGATTGTATCCGATCTATTGAGAGTGAACTGGAGATTTACTTCAAGTAAATCAATAATTTACCTCGTAGTAACAATTAAACTGCAAAATGTAAAAAACTTGCACTCACCGAAAAGCGAAATGGAAACACACTGTTTGAAATGTCTAATATGTGAAATATGTATGTTACTAGTTCTTAAAAAACTTATATAAGTAAGTGTTTAGGATAAATAATTAAATACCCGAGGCATGTAAATTCCTGCCACTATAGCACCAGTGTAATTTACCAATAACAGTACAGTGCCAACAAATGCAATGTTTCTAGATCCGAATATTGCTGCAAATGTTCGTATGTTAAACCTGTAAATTGAATATTTATGTAAAAACATGTTAAAGATAAAAGCTAAGCAAATTTTTTTATAGATCAAAGGGATATTGATCAAAATGGAAGATTTGAGATTCTGAGTTTAATAAATGAAATGACGCATAAAAAAAACAACTTACTTCATGTCACCTTTAACATCTACGATATCCTTTGTGATGCTTAGGACCATTGAAAACAATGTCCCAAAAGTAGTGATAAAAACAACTGGGGGGCTGCAGAGCAAATTGAAATCACCTAATGATATATTTAGAGCAAAAAAAAAAAAAAAACAATATTAATATAAAGTTTTTGTTTGTTTTATGGACTTATAGTGAAAGTTCTCTAAGATTGTTAATCTTTTAAGATAATACGTCGTCACATAATTTGGACAGTGCAAGAAAAGAAAAGTAAACAGAAATTTAGTTACTGGTTTTATAAAACTGTTATTACATACCTCCATAAAAATGGAAGTCCAAGGGAAGCTCTAGTAGTGTAAAGAATACCGACATTGTGAATGACACATGAGGCCTGCATAATTTGCTTTTGTATCAAATATATATATATTTTTTAATCTTAGGTAAAGGTATAACAAGCAACACGTGCTAATTTCCTCTTTATAAAATTACAATGCCTTGAATAGAAATTATAACACACTAAAACTTCACAAAGTACTCCTCCTCAAATATGCTGAACACCTCAATATACTAAACCTAATAAAGGACATGCATGCTGTCGAAATGCAAAAAAAAAACAAAAAAAAACAAAAAAAAAACAACAACAACAACTACAACGCAAGCAAAACTCCAGTTCAATATGTTAGCACTGACTGTATTATCAGGACAATGACTTCCTGACACTAATGTGTTTCTCATGCTTCTAAAATGAAGTACTTCATTTATGCTCTTGAAGCTAACTCGAGTGGTTAGGTGCGTAGATGTGTGGTGTATAAGAGTTCAAATTCTTATGTGCTTTTTTTTTTTTTTTTTTTTTTTTTTTTTTTTTTTTAAATATTAGGAGTAACAGCACCATATCAAAAAAAAAAAAAAAAAAAAAAAAAAAAACCTTAAAATTATAAAGTGTTCACTGATAATATACAAGTTTGATGCATGATCAAATTTTATCTAAATTTGTTCCAACTTGAAAACTTGAATGCAACTACAAGACAATAATGTTTTCCAAATTAAATGAAAATAAATTATAGTAGCCATTTTTAAATTTTTAGATGAGACCACTAAGTTTCCTATGACTCAATGTTTTTTTTTGTAAACCAAAACAAAATTTCATTATAAGATATAGAGGATGAGAAGAAAATGATATTACCAAAGGAAGCACAATAATTGTCGCAATAGAAGATCTCTTGAATCTAAAAGGAGGAGCAGAATAGAAGGTGCCCAAGAACAAAAAAAGAAATGCGAGACTAGTAGTGATTAGATCGGGCTTCATGAACCGCAAAATCAATACGCTAGCCGCTAGATCAAACATTACTAAGAACCATGCTTGTGTAAGAGAAAGATCTCCTGCTGGTATAGATAAATAAGCCTTGTTCACCCTGAAAATAGAACATAAAGATAAGAATAAGCTAAAATGCTTATATTGGTCATGTACTATTTATTCACGTGTACTGTGAAAACTTAATATGAATTCATTCTAGTAAAGGCCACATCTTGATGACTATGACCACATATTCACATATTTGTGAATGCTTATATTGGTCATGTACTATTTTTTTTTTTTATAATATATTGAATGCATGGATTCAAATAAATAATTGTATACATTGTTGGCTTATATTGTTTTTTTAATTACATTGTTGGAATATAGGCTTATATTTTTTTATATTATGAATGTTGAACGTATTAACTAAATTCTATGTTTTTGGTCACAATAACTTATAACTAATAGTACCAAAAAAAAAAAAAAATCAACAACACTGCATTGCTAAAATATAGTATAATGACATGATGTGATCATAAGTCAATCGCAGTCTTGAAATTACAATCACATGTTTGCATCAGCATACCTGTCAATATCGATATCATAGATCTGATTGATGCCATTAACATAAGCACCCGCAAAAATGCACGCAATTAGACCACAGAATGCCTTAAACAACACAGACCATGTAAATAGCCGTGGATCCTCGATGAATACTCTTGCAAACAAACAACTGCCCACGAAGAAAGAGACAACAAATATATTTTAGTTAGTTAGCTCTTTCAAAGACCCGGAAACTCTTTTGTACGTAGCGTGAGATGTGCTTGTAAATAAAAATAATGCAGAAAGTTCAATGCGTACTCGTGCAGTTATTACCTTTTGAACTCACTACAAGAAAAGAGTTTTTTGGCAAACAAAAAATTTATATTATTATTTAGTGTAATATTTAAATATATCAACACATGATAATATTCCATTAAAAAAAAACTACTAATTAAGTCATAAATATCTAAAAATAATTATATAAAATGTCTATTTTAGAAACCTTGGGTTTAAAAATATCCACTTTACACCATAATATTACAGATATATCTATTTTGGAAATTATATGACTTGTGATACTTGCTGCATCCCTTTCATATATATATATATATACACACATATTTTGAGTATTTTTTTATATAATTATTTCATTAACTATAATGTTCATATATAATCATAACGTTACAATCTTTTATGATAATGAGCAAATTTATAATTCTACATTTTCATAAGTTGCAATTTTAAATTCGCTAAATTATTATAGAGTTTTGTTGTTTAATTTAAATTAATAATGATAATCATCATAATCATCATAATTATATAATTTCTATGGTAGTGATTAACTTATAGTCTTATTTCATTATCATAAAGTCATTATTTTACAGTTGCGATCTTCATGCTCTTGTTTGTTGTTTATTGTACATTTTTTTGTTGTTCAATTCCGGTAATAATGATGATGATCATTCCCCTAAAAAATAACTATGACAAACAAAAAATAAGATTATAAAATTATATATTCATAAAGATCGCATCTTCATGAAAAGAAAATAAGATTTTGAATATATTCATCATTTTGAAAATTGTTACAGTTATTATCATCATCGTTATTAATGAAATAGAACAACAAAACTCAACGAACGGGAGCGTAAAATCGGCCCGTTATGATATTCTGAGATATAAGATTATAAATATTTCTCATTATCAAAAAGATCATTATGATTATGATCATCATCATCAACATTGTTAACGAATTGAAAAAACAGAACTCTATAATAATCAACGAACAAGAGCATCAACACTATAATTTTTTTGGTAATAAAATAAAAATTTATTCCTTATCATAAAGATATATCGTAGCATCATCATTATGATCATCATCATTTTTAATGAAATTGAACAGAAAAAACTATATTCTCTACAACTAATTTGTTATATGTCAATAAAATTTATTTTACTAATGCCCAACTGGGTTTGCGAGAAGGAGAAGCTTATTTCTTGCGTTGCTGTTAACCATTATTTTCCCACCTCTTTCTCTATATTTTTCCCACAAAAGTTTACTTACGTGGCCGATATAATTGCGTATAGCATTCCGTAGGGCCTCATGAATTTATAATAAGTAGATCCAAAACGTGAGATTTTGGCAAACACTGAATCGGAATCACCACCAGATTCAACTTCAGCACGTACCTACCACATTAATTTGTTTCACTTTATCATAAATTGAATAGAAAAACCAATTGGAACAAATAAAAAAGACAATGTAGGAAATTACAAGAGTAGTATTTATGAGACGTTAATTTAACTACTAGTACTGAATACATTGATACATATCATAGTATTCACATGACGATGTATAACAATTTTTTCACATGATTTGTATTATTTCCAATAGTAAAACTTAAACGTCAACATATGAAATTACAAATAGGTTCAAAATTTTCGGTTCAAATCAAACAAGTTCAAAACCGCGCGAATCATACCTCGATGGAGTTGCGCTCATGCAATTGGCAGTACAATAAAGACTTGGAGAACCTGCTTTTGCCAAGCCTTGCTGGTATTAGATTCGATTTATTGGTGGGGCGTTTTGAAGGAAAGACGTTGGACGATTTGACATTATTTTTAGCTGTGGTGGGCTTAATCAGTTTCAACCTATTGTCATTACAAGAGGAGGACTTGAGACGTTGAGGGATGGTAGATGGCACTGCACATGAAGAGCGAGGGATTGAGAGCTCCATGTACGTGAAGAAACAAAAAAAAAAAGGAAAAAAGAGAACAAAATGAAGAGTTAAAGATAGAGAGCTCCATATGTACGTGAATTAGAAGCAAAACAAGGAAAAAGGGAAGAAAGAGAAAGGAAAATGTTGACAACTAATGCATTTGTTTGAAGGCGATTGTGAAGCCGCCCTTTGATAGTTAATTTCATGGCTAGCTAGATGACGTTGCCTTGTAATTGAGTATGTGGAAGTATTATAGCATATAGGCTTCGGACATAGTATTATAGTATTATAGTATTATACTATAGGCTTCGGACGGCTAATATTCCTTTCATATACAAGGTACAAGGTACAAGAATGGAAAAATCAATTAATAATTAAGGCACGATCATACACACATACATACAAACACACATATACATTACTTTCATTTCATGTCCTTAACTGTCAATAATATTATTCACCTGCAGTACCACAAAAGGAACATTAAACAATACTGCTAGATCGACAACGCATATTGGTAGAAAAAGACGTTTAAAGTGGTAGGGATTATGGAATTCCATTTCCACAAAACCGTCGAGAAACAATTTTATAAAAAAGTAGATACATACAAATTAAAGAGAAAAAATGGTAAATTAATGGAAAAGCTACAAAACTACTCACAAATTCATTTTCAGTTATGTAAATTAATGGAAAAGCTAGAGAGTTTGGCATTAAATCATCAATCTATCTCCATATGAATTTCATTTTCATGAACAAATGAAGAATTTCTCAAAAGATCTTGGGAGTTTTGTGCCTGCCTTGAATTTATTATTCCAGTTGAACGCATACGGTAGCAACTCATCATTAACATAATAATAGGATAGACAGATTGTTAGTTTAGGAATAAAATGGGGTAATTAATTATAAACTTCCCATTTTAATTGTTAGTTTATATGAACAAATATTCATGGAAACTACAATACCACCCTCTTTGATTGGACCTTTCATAGAAAAGTGAAAAACCAACACATATATAGAGAATCTTATGGTCTGTATATTTCATGTTATAATTTATAATTTCATTTGAATTCTAAATTAATCTAATGAGACAGATCTTTGAATGGGCATTTTTTCGTTACTATTTACGATATTACACTCCACATCGATCCCAAACTTGTACTTGTATCAGAATTATTTATTGTATATATCATTATATATCATGTACCAAGACAAAAACTCCACCTCAGAACCACCTCGGTATCAGATTGAAGAAAACAGCATTGAAACAATATTAACTACAAATGTTAGAGTGAGGAGACAAGGCATATAATATTATATATAGGTTCAGATTTTTCATGGAGACAAGACATAATATATCAGATTTTTACTGGGCCAAACTACAAATGTTTATTCTTCAACTTGGAAGAAATTCCTGGTCCTATTGTTTAGACATCTTTATTCCTAGGAAAAAGGAAAAGAGAAAAAAAACAAAAATGCCTTTAAAAATAATATTACACACGTTAACTCGATTTTTTCTCTCCCTCGATCTCCACTCGAGTATAAAGGAAAACGATAGTTAATTGCACTAATTCACTATATGAATGGAAATAGGAGATACTCCAAGTTAAGAAGCTTCCAAAGGAATTGAAAGAAATTCGCGCATGCTTCCTGCATATATCGAGAAAGTCCAGGTATAAATAATGGTCAATATGTACGCACTAGGACAAAAATGTACTTGATATGAACCTGCATATTAGTTACCTTGCTATAGTTTTCTTTATCCAACTTCCGAACCTGATGAATTAAGGACACAAGAAAAGGAGTTGTAATAGTTTTAATTTGTTTTGTTTTATTAATTTCGTTTATTTTGTGGAAATTATGTATGACGAACCTGAAAAAGTAACCACAACGGAAAGATTGAATGTGCCGGTAACATTAAGTAGCGCTTAAAAACCTGTAACAAGAAATAGAAGGAACCTGTTTATCAGTTTCTTTTTTCTCTCCATTTTTTATGTGTATTTTTGTAACAAGTGGATTCAAAGGGATTATTAACCGGCCACTATATCAATAATAATTGTAGTTCTTATTCTACACATAAATAAGGATGGATTGGAAAAATAAAAAAATAAAAAATAAAAGATGGAAAAGGAAACTGCGATGAATTAGTTAACCCTTTAAAAACTGTCTGTAAAAATATCTCTTTTGTTTTATGTCACGGTAAATTAATTATTTACATAGGTAGATCTATGATTGTACTGTACTTAGTAAGAGTAAATTGGGGATATAAAAACTACAAAAAAATGGACATTAAAATGAAAGGAAAAAGTACGTATTTCAAAAAAGTCTAAGATGTTATGAAAATATATCTCTCAAAAAGTTTTGTAAGTAAAATTTCAAGAAGAAGGTCTAATAATTACCTGAGGCAAGTAAATGGCAGCCGCTATGGCACCCATATAATTTACCAGTAGTATCCCAGTGCAGAAGAATGCAATCTTTCTAAGTCCGAATATTGCCGCAAATGTTTGTATGTTATGCCTATAAACATTGTTGAGTAAATTTTTAAATGATTGCTAAAGACCGAAACTTTTTTCCCCCGGATATCTAGAGGGTAAACGAAATGGAAAGCTTTTAGACTTGGTTCAATAGATGTGATGATACATATAAAAAGTACACAAAGAAACTTACTTCATGTCTCCTTCAACATCGGTGAGATCTTTCGTGATGCTAATGACCACGAAAAACAGTGTCACAAAGGTAGTGATAAAAACAATTGGGGGGCTGCAGAGCAAATCAAAAGCAAAACAAGATATTTTTTAGGAAAAACTAATGGTCGTTAAGTTTTTGCAATCATTCATCTACTCAATCTCAAAGTTCTACGTGCGAAATCCTTATTGTTTAAGAAATTAAATTACATCTCAAAATCTAATTTCAAGAACAAAGAGCAAGACAATAAAAATAAACAAAAGATTTTTGGTTTTATAAAACTGCTACGTACATACCTCCACCAAAAGGGAAGTCCAATGGAAGCTCTGGTAGCGTATAGAATACCGACATTGTGAATGGCGCCCGTCGTCTGCATAATTTGCTTTTGTTATGATCAGATGTACAATGCCAAACAATCTTTTATATAATATATATATATATATATGTGTATGTATATATGTATATATCTGTGTGTGTGTGTGTGGGATGAGAACTTTAATTGAGAACGTTATATACAAATTAGAACGACACAAAATGGAAGAACGATGTTACAGTACTCTACGCGTGGTATGTGGATGTGAAAATGACAATCTCAACTTTCATAAAATTGTTTTTCCTGTAGTGGCATGACCATACAGAAATTTGATGCGATTAAACTTTCAACTTGACAAACTTGAAGGCAGATACATTAATGGTTTTCGAAATATTTATGTAAAGAAATTTTTTAATTTTTAGAGCACCACTGAATTTCTAAAGAGTACCCGAGAACTTATATGAAAACATAATTTAATTACAAGATTGAGAGGGATCATGACAAGAAAATAATAATATTACCAACGGAAGGAAAATTGATGTTGCAAGGGAATATCTCTTGAATCTAAAGGGAGGAGCTGAATAGAAGGTGCCAAAAAAAAGACCGAGGCAATAGAGCGACAGAGTGATTAGGTCGGCATTCATCAACCACATGATCAATAAGCCAGAAAGTAAATAAAATATTACTAAAAACCATGCTTGTCTATCTGAAAGTTCTCCTGTTGGTATAGGTAAATAAGGTTTGTTCACCCTGAAAAAAGAACATAAAGACAAAACAAGCTTAAATTGCTTTTGTTAGGAATTCATCAAAGGAAAAGAAAAGAAAATTCAAAATGAAAACCCGTTGTTTTAACTTCAAAATAAAATTACTTTTGCTCGTAAGAAGGTTTAGAAAATCACCATTTGAGAAATTAGCGAAGGTGCACGTTATGAAAACAATCATAATTACATGCATCTTTTTAGTATTTCTTTTGGAAATTAAGGACGTTGCTCGAAGGCAGAAGCAAACTTTTTAGTATTTCTCTTATTTTTTATTAATTTTTTGGAAAGGTTGGTTTTCTTTTTCTTCAGTATGAAAAGAATATTAAGATATACATATATATATATATATATAGATATACATATGCACACATTGAAAGCATACCTATCAATATCGGCATCATAAATCTGATTGAGGCCAATATAATAAGCGTGCGCTAGTATTATAGTAACTAGTCCAGGAAATGTCTTAAACATCAAAGGCCATTTAAAAAACTGTGGATTCTCAACTAACACTCTTGCGAACAAGCAACTGCACAGGAAAAGAGACAACATATATACATTATACATATGAACTACATATAAAAACTTTTCTTTCACTGGGAACGTCCCTTGTTTTTTTTTTTTTTTTTTTTTTTGAGTCTCACTATTTTCTTGTAAAAGTTTACTTACATGGCCGATATAATTGCTTGCTGTACTGCGTAGGGCCTCAGGAATTTATAGCAAGCGGATCCAAAACGTGAGGTTTTGGCGAGTGCTGAATCGGAACTAGCAGAATATTGAGCTTGAGAGCAATCCTATAGATATCACCAAATTTGTTGCACTTTATTATATATAATTAAGTTGAATAGAAAAACCATGTTGCGCAAACTAATCAAGGCACATGATTATCAAATCGCAAGAGTACTACTTAATATGGCACATTTTTATTTAACTACTAATGAAAATTTTGTTTGTGGGTCCCACATTTACTTCAATATTAAATTTTTTTTTGCATTATCCATGACTAAAACAAGTACTTAAATATAAAATATGCTTGCTTGTATTGGGAAATTAAAAGATAAAATAATATATACCTGGATAGGACTGGGATTATGTTGATTGTATGATAAGGATATTGAGAACCTGCTTTGGCCATTGATCCTCACTGGCTTGATCAAATCCTTGGTTGATGAGCATTTTGAAGGAAAGTTTGAGGATTTGAATATATTTTTGGTTGTGGGACTAATAATTGGTATCAAACTTAACCTATTATTGCCACGGAAATAGGCCATGCAAGGTCGAGCAATAATATTGGATGGCCCTCCAAATGAATTAGAGTTAGAGATTGAGATCTCCATGAACGCACGTGATAGAAGCAAAACAAGGAAAAGCAAAGGGAAGAAATTAAAAGAGTGAAAAATGTAAACCAAATGCTTCAAGAGCTTGATGAAAAATTTATTAACTTGATAATTTTCTTCTATTATTATCATTCCACTTGTCCTATCTCTTGATAATTTAGTTCTTATCACTTGTTGGGTGCATCTATTATATTATACTTGTTTCGAAGGTAATTGCGCAGCCGCCCGTGATAGTTTCAATATGGCTAGATGATGTGGTCTTGGTAATTGAGCTGTTAGTGGAAGTATTATAGCATGAGGCTTTGGACGGCTGATATCCCTTTTATGTACAATAAATCAATTAATAAGGTATCATCATGACCAATATGTCATATTATATACATATTTATTCACATACATATATGTCTGTTTTGGGGGGCAATTAGAAATTAGGCTAATTGTCATTTTTTGATCATTTTCTTAATTATTAATGGTCGTACTTTTTATTTTTTAGACAATTACTAGCCGGAAATTTTTTTTTAAAAAGAAAATTGATGTTTTACTAAAATAGTTAACAGTGATAAAACATGATCAATCACTCATAAAAAAAAGTTAATTAAAAAATGATCATTTCTTTAATTATATAAAATTTCAACCTCTACTATAAAACCCTAAAAAAAAGATCATTTAAGGTCCATTTAGTGTGAGAGTTTATATCAGGGTGGTTTGAACTTTTGAGTTTGAACTATGTGGATTTTGAATTGTGCGGTTTAAACTTGGAGTTCAAACCATGAATCTTTGAATTAGAACCATGTATAGTTTGAACTTGAGGTTCAAACTAGCCAAAACCAAGGGTGTTAGGAATAGTATCCTTAAAGCATGAGATGTAATAAGGATATTTATTATTTAATTAATAAAATAGTTATCGGGGTCCGGTGGATCTGGAGGGTCAACGTGTCGAGGATTGACGCGCATAAGCACGCGGTTTTTTAGAAGCGGATTCGGCGTGGCCGAGCTTCGAAGTGGATAATGATAGCGGAACCTTCGATGAAAAGTGGCAGTTAGGCCCAAATTAGGCCGCATACGCGTGTCCTAGGACCCTCTTTGTTTTTAAAATGATGAATATGCCCTGAAAAATAGGTTAGAGAATCCGCAAAAATAAATAAAGAACTCTGGAGATGAAGAATGGTGGGAGGTAGTGCTGGAACTTTGGACAGGCCGCCCGCGACCGCCCGAAAAGCCTGAGTTTTTGCCCGAGCCCGAGCCCGAGCCGCCCGAGAAATTCGGGCCGCCCGCCCGAGCCTGAATTTCACCTTGAACGGGCCGCGGGCTTGTATTAGGCGGCCCGAGCTCGGCCGGGCGGCCCGAGCCCGCCCGAATTGTCCGAATTATTTAAACTTTTTTTTAATATTAAGTTATAAAAATTCTTTCTTTATTAATTTTTAAATTTATAATTCATGATTACCTCATTAAAAACTTTACCAAGAAAAACCCAATTGGGATAAAAACTTGGCAAGGAAAAAAGAGTGCAATCATATTGTGACGAATTACAAATTTTACAAACTTACAAAGTTATACAATTAAAAATACAATGTCAAGGTAAATACATATTTACAAATTACAAATTTACAATTTAATTTAAAGCTAAAGGATCGTCTTCAAAATTAAATGTTAATCGATTAAATTCATCGATCCATTATTGGCTTGCCAGTGAAATTGTATCTCGTAAATGTTGATCGGCCCGATCCCAATCCTTAATGCAAACCAAGGATTCAACATTGAGTGACTGGTCTTTTAAAATAGAGATCATCAAATAGCGATGAAGTTATTAAACCAAACCAATCATTGAGTGACTTTTGATAAATTATCAATTTACTTTGGTATGCAAATATAAAGTTACTTTGATATAGAGTCACAAAGAGAGTGAAGAAAGTCGAAGAAAAAAGAGGATAATTAAGAGGGTGAGGAGAGATTGTGAACAGAAAAATAGATAAAGATAGAAAGAAAAGTGATATAGAATAGAAAAACACGAGTATCTATAAGAACAAAATCATCATTATATAGAAACATCACTTTTTAAAAATAAAAAATAATAAAAACGTGATGGCAATGTGTTTCTTTTCTTGTGTATATTTTTTTTGAGGAATCCTTTTATCATGTGATTGATTATAAAAAAAGGGTCAAGAATGTGAAAACTGAAATATTAAACTGCTAAAATAGGAATTTGCTCTTTCTATTAAGGAATTATGTGTTTACCTTAATTAAAAAGTTAAAAATTTAAATAACAAATATGGGCATTGGGTCTAGTGGTATGATTCTTGCTTTGGGTGTGAGAGGTCCCGAGTTCGATTCTCGGAATGCCCCAATTTGTAGCAACTAATATTTTCGGGCGATTTTGGGCAAATCAGGCAACTTGGGCTTTGGGCAAAATTCGGGTTTTCGGGCTTATTTTCGGGTCGGGCAATTCAGGCGGGTCGGGCAGTTCGGGCAGTTCGGGCATGGTCAGAAAATTTAAAAAAATTCCGGCGGACGGTGGTATAGGGCGGTTAGACAGTGGCGGGCAAGAGAGTCTGTGTCAAATTCGGGCTGCCCGAGCCCGAACCCGAAAATCTAGCTTGGGCGGGCGGGAAATGGGCTTGCCCGCCTGAGCCCGAAAAAATTTAGGCTTCGGGCAGCCCGCCGACCCGAACTTCCAGCAGTGGTGGGAGGTGTGACTAAATAGTTGATAGAGATGGAGAAAAGGAGGCTGAAGGTGCCTTGATAGAGCAATACACTGGAGATAAGCGCAGGCTGCTCCAGGAGCGAAGATGGTGACTCAAGTGGTGGATAAGGTTTGGAGGAGAGTGAGAATGAAGTTGATGAGGTGGATAAGTGTAACACCCTAAAGAATTAATTGAGATTAATTAAGGTAATTGAGATTATTAGTGTGCCTAATCTGATTTAATTTATTGAGTTTAAATAATTCCAAGGTATTTAAATTATTCACA